AGGTCACTTCCTCACAAGGCCTTCCCTGACCCGAGCCCCTGTCCCCCAGGGCACATTGACCTTTTTCTTCACAACACTCAGTACTGGCTCTCAGAAAAGTTCTTGTTGATTGACTTCTAGTCTGGCTCCCCCACCAGGAAGTACCTTACTGAAGGACCTGCTCTCTAGCTTCCTGCTAGAACCCGGTGCCTAGCATGGTAGGACTTCAGTAAATATTTGGAAGATGAAGTCAGGCAGGCATGAGGTCCCACCCTCATATAAGTGTAATTATTACACTATTTGTCCTTTTGTGTCTGGCTTATTTCACTTAACACGATGTCCTCAGGGTTCATCCAGGTTATAGCATGTGTTAGCAGGGAAGGAGAGGACTCATTGAGAAGCCAAGGGGAAGTCCAAGGGGCTGTGCTGCCCCCAGGATTCTAACTCCCTCTGTGACCATGGCCATTATCCCTGCGTGTAACCTGCAAGGAAGGATGGACAAGCTCCTACTTTCCAGGGTTCCCAAGTTGGGTCCCCAAACAATTCTCACTAACCCAAAGGCTGTGCCCTGAGTGGGAAGAGAATGAGTTTCATTAGGATAGAGCCCTGTGTGTCCTGCCGGGTGTGTCTCTGGAGCAGGTGCTTCAGCAAACCTTTTCTGTAAAGGCCGGGAGAGTATGCATTTTACAGTGTGTGGTGGTGTAGATTAGGGGTCAGCAAACCTTTTCTGTAAAGGCCGGGAGAGTAAATATTTTAGGTTTGCAAGCCATACAGTCTCATGACACGTGGCTATAAGATTGTGTTTAGAAAGGCTGGCAGTGGGCTAGAGTTGGTGTCGATTTCCAGCCCCTGGTGTAGGTCACGCATCACACCTCGACTGTTACACATAGAACCCTAGCCACACAGCATCTGCAGCCACTCCAGTGACTCTCAGGATGTGGCTCCCAAGCTGCAGTGCTCAGTGTTAGCACTGTCAGCCCCAGTTCAGATGGTGAGACCACTGAGCCCAGGAGCCCCTCACTGCTCTGAACCCTCAAAAGAAGATGCAGGTTTGTTCATTTTCCTGTCTCCCAGGCTCACTGACCCTGGCAATGGCCACACCTATCAGCGGCCACACTGGTGTCAGCACAGGCATTATCCAAGGCCTAGAGGCTGCCAGGAAACTCCATCTTTTGTCTTCCTGAGGCAAGCCAATCTCGAATGAGTGGGGCAGGGTTCATCTCTGTCCTCCCCCATTCTAAGTGAGGAAGGTTCACTTTTCTGGTGATAACAATAAAAGAAGATTCCCCATCTGACTTGAAGCTGCAGTTTTTACCAAGAAAAACCTTCAGGCCACAGCACACCACAGTGTGAAGTTATGGTTGCATAGGTAAGATGGATGGTTGTGGGAGTTGTTGGCAGAGACGATGAGAGGATGTTCTCTGATGCCTGGCCCTTCCGGACTTTTTTATCTTTTAAAACTGAATCTCTATACCCATTAACAACTCTCCTCTCCTTCCCAGCCCCTGACAACCACCATTCTACTTTCTGTCTCTATGAATTTGGCCACTTTAGATATCTCACATAAGTGGAATCCTTACACTATTTGTCCTTTTGTGACTGGCTTATTTCACTTAACACGATGTTCTCAAGGTTCATCCAGGTTGTGGCATATGCTTCCTGTTAAGGCTGAATAATATTCCACTGCATGCATTGACAACATTTTCCTCACTCATCCATCCGTCAGTGGACACCTGGGTGGCACCCGCCCACTTCTTGGCTGTTGTGAATGATGCTGCTGTGAACCTGGGTGTGCAAACACCTCTTCAAGACCCTGCTCTCAATTCTTTCGGGTCTAGCCCCAGAAGTGGAATTGCTGCACAGGACAGTAACTCCATTTTTAACTTTCTGAGGACCCACCATATTGTTCCCACAGCAGCTGCACTGTTCACAGTCCCATCAGCAGTGCACAGGGGCGCCTGTCTTTCCACATCCTCGCCAGCGCTTGTCGTTCTGTTTTACAACGGCCACCCTAACGGGAATGGGCAGTGCTCACTGCAGTTTTCATTTGCTTTTCCCTAATGACCATGATGTCCCGCATGTCTTCATGTGCTCTTGACCTCTGTGTATCTTCTCTGGAGAATGTCTGTTCAAGTCCTTTATAGGAGTTCTTTATACATTCTGGATTTTAATTCTTTACCAATATGTGATTTGCAAATATTTTCTCATTATTTCCCATTAATTCCTCAGTTTTCATTAAGTAATTAAAATACATACCTAAATTCTGCCGAAATTCAGACTTAAGTCCAATTTGAAGCAGCTGGTTTTCAAACAACACACCATTATTTTTACAAACGAACCTGGAAGAAAAGAGACAGCAGTGTGTCACTTTAAGCCACCCACTGGAAACACAAGGGTTCGCTTTGAAAAAGTATAGGGATGGCCGGTTTGCTCACTGGCTGAGCGTGGTGCTGACAACACCAAGTCAAGGGTTAAGATCCCCTTACCGGTCATCTTAAAAAAAAAAAAAAAAAGCGTTATGCAGTTTCTGCATGAGTGGCGTCACATTATGTACGCCATTCTGTGGGTGGCATTTCTCTACTCAGCATCTGTAGTCTGTCACTACCCCATCTTGACCTGTGTTTCCACTGTGTGAGTAGACCCTGGCTTTTTAGCCTTTCCCCTGCAGATCAGCATTTCTGCTACACAGCAGTCACTGCTCTCTGTGGGTCTCCCTCATCTGCTACGCTCGGAGCTCCTCCACAGGGGAGACCTTATCCAAACCATCCCAGGGCCCCCAGCGCACAGCCCAGTGGTATTGGAGATGATACTCTGGAATGTAGGGAACACAATTCTGGTTTGCCAGATTGTCCATCAGCCAGGGACCCAGTGATTAGTCGTGGCAGGATGGCTCAGGACTGTCACTGATAATCTGTTAGGTTTGTAATACACAGTCAAGATCAACAACCTAAAAATAGCAGTTCTTACATAAGGTGGTGTGGACAGCACATCTTAGAACACCTTGTGATCTGAAAGGGCAATTGGTCCATGACTCTAGGGGCCTAGCATCCCCTCTCAGGAAATGTATCCAGCTCCCATGCTGGGACCCCACTCTGGCTTCCCACAGGTGGCCAGACTTACAAAACTTACAGAACTGCAGCTTGGTGACCCAGAAACACTATGTGCTATGTGGACCTGAACACGTGTGCACATTGGGGTGGTGGGGTCAGCTGTCACCTACTGCTTCTAAAGAGGTGAGAGCTGGGTTATGGTGGGCCTTCAGGAGCTTTGGAAAGGTTCGTTCATTCACGGGCCACTTATGAAGCACCTGCTTTGTGCTTGGCACAGTTCCAAGAATCGGGGGTACAGCAATGAACAAGAAAAGGCCTTTGTTCTCATGGAGCTAAAAATCAAACGGGGGGGTATAGAAAATACACAAGCAGTGAACAGCCAAGAAAATATCAGGTCCTGATAAGTCCCATGAGGAAAAACTAAAATAGGGTGGCATCCTAGAAAAGGGGTCAGCAGATTTCTTCCGTAAAGGGCCAGATGGAAAATATTTTAGGCTTTGTAGCCATACAGTCTCTGTCACCACTGCTCATCCTGTCATTGCAGCCTGAAAGCAGCGACAGACAGTGGTAAGTGAATGCATGGGGCTGTGTTCCAATAAAACTTTATTTATAAAAACAGGCTGTGAGCCAGATTTGACCCTCAGATCATAGTTTGCAAACCCCTTGGGTGAGGGGAGAAGCTGCCTGAGTTGGGGATGTCAGGGAGAACCTCTCTGAAAGGGAGATGGAAACTGAGAGCTGATCACAGAAAGGAGCCAGTCATGGGCCAGCCTGTTTCAGGAGACATAATGGCACCTTGCTGTGGATACAGTGGGGGAGTAGTGTGCTGAGAAGTGGGCAGGCTTGGCTAGGTTTGAGAGATAAAGATGATGAGACTTGCTCGTGGGTTGAATGTTGGAGGAACAGGAAAGAGGAGCTTCGAGAATGAGTCCTAGATTTGAGATTGGAACTGCTGAGTGAACGGTGGGTCCGTTGATGGAGGAGCTGAGAGAAGTAGAGCCGAGCAGGGGTGGAGGACTGAGTTCAGTGCTGGGCGTGTTGAATTTGAGGATCTCCTTAGATGAGGTGGTGGGCAGGTGGACGTCCGTGCCAAAACATCAGTGGAGAGGGCAGGACTAGAAGCTCCGACTGGAGAGTCGAAAGCATTCAGGGAGTCTTCAAAGCTGTGAGGCCACCAACATTTAGTGCTTAGTGCATCAGCAGAGGGGCCCAAGTGGGCCTCACACTCCGTGAGAGAAGGCAGTATAGTACAAACTCTGGGGTCCCCCACTTACTAGCAGAGCCTCAGTTTCCCTCCTGTAAGGTGGGGATTCTACCTCCTGGAGTTGGTATGAAGGCTAAGTGAGAAAAAGCCATGCTTGGAGGATCACTCAGCACGTGGTCCCTGTGATGATGGTGGTGACCACTGGCCTCACTGGGTGAGCGAGTGGATTGTACAGTCTGTGGCTGTTTGGTTTGGTGGGTGGGGGACTCAGTGATTGGTTGGGGTCGCAAACACCCACATTTGGGCATGCACTGTGAAGTGCAGAATAGTTGGTGCCCCGAGAGCAGCGGATGGGATTTGGAGGCTCAGTATCCCAGCTTCCTGGCCCCTTGGGTGGACCCCTTTCAGGCATGGTGTGCATGGTCTTCCCAGGCTCCTGAGGGGTATGGAGCCTCTGCTGCCCACAGTGGAAGCCTGCTCAGGAGCACACTCTCTATCGCGGCCTTTCTTCCCATCCCTGTGTGGCTTCCACATCACCCTTACTGGGGAACCCCCTTTAACCCCAATAATTCCTTGTACTCCTTGTGTCAGGGCCAGCTCCTGGGGCAGTGAGTTTCTTTGGCTGGGTGGGCTTGCTGGGGCACAGAGAGGTGATAAGTGGGTCGTCTGGTTTGGCGGGCAGTGAGTTGGGGTGGGCAGCCTGGCTCTGACCCCCGCCTGTCTGGGCACGCTGATGCGTCCTTGTCTGCCTCCTCCCACAGCTGCTGGAGAAGATGGTGGAGCACTTGGCAAACACGGAGATCAACAGCCAGCGGATCGCGGCAGTGGAGAGCTGCTTCGGGGCTTCGGGGCAGCCGCTGGCCCTGCCAGGCCGGGTGCTGCTGGGAGAGGGCGTGCTGACCAAGGAGTGCCGCAAGAAGGCCAAGCCCCGCATCTTCTTCCTCTTCAACGACATCCTGGTGTACGGCAGCATCGTACTCAACAAGCGCAAGTACCGCAGCCAGCGTATTATCCCATTGGAGGAGGTGACGCTGGAGCCACTGCCCGAGACCCTGCAGGCCAAGAACCGCTGGATGATCAAGACAGCCAAGAAGTCCTTCGTGGTGTCGGCCGCCTCCACCACCGAGCGCCAGGAGTGGATCAGCCACATTGAGGAGTGTGTGCGGCAGCAGCTGCTGGCCACAGGCTGCCAGCCCACCACGGAGCATGCAGCACCCTGGATCCCTGACAAGGCCACGGACATCTGCATGCGCTGCACGCAGACGCGCTTCTCGGCCCTCACCCGGCGCCACCACTGCCGCAAGTGTGGCTTCGTGGTCTGCGCCGAGTGCTCCCGCGAGCGCTTCCTGTTGCCGCGCCTCTCGTCCAAGCCCCTGCGCGTCTGCAGCCTCTGCTACCGTGATCTGGCCGCCCAGAAGCGGAAGGAGGAGGCTGAAGAGCAGGGCTGGGGGTCCCCGGGGCAGCCGGCTCACCTGGCTGGGGCCATCTACGGAGCGTCCAGTGGAGACGATGATGACTCCGACGAGGACAAGGAGGGCAGCAGGGATGGCGACTGGCCCAGCCATGTGAAGTTCTATGCCTCAGGCGTCTCCTGGTCTGCCTTCCATAGCTGACCCCAGACCTGCAGAGCTTCTTCATCCAAGCCGGCTCCAATGCCCAGACCCTGAGGGAGGCAGTTCCCAATGCGCCAGTGCTCCTGGGACCCTACCCCATGGTGGTGGGCATAGTGTTGGGGAGTGGCTTTTTCCCTCTGGCCTCCCAGTGCCTTTTTGCTAGATGACAGCATCCTCCTAGTTCCACTTCAGGTAATTATCTTTCCATTTAGCAATCCATAAATCACTTAGTCCTCTTAGAAACAAATGCCATTTCTCAGCCCTTTAGGCTGCAGCTGCAGCCCTAGATAGTCCCTTGATTTAGATGACTCCAGGAGCCCTGGGAATTTAGGGGCCAGAGGGGAGTTAGGAACACAGAGGGAAGACAGGATGGGAGTGAGTGACCACTCCTCCCTGAGGCCATGAGCACACAGAACCCCACCCATCACCCCTGGATAAGCACAACCCAGGGAAGAGCATGCATCATGGAGGCCTCCAGGAAACCCATGCCTGCCTACCCACCATCCTGGTGCCCACTGCCTAGGCCTGCCAGTCCAGGCAAGTGGCTCACCTAAGCCAGCCAAGAGATTGCCATGCTATGGGAACACACCTGGCCCAGGGGACTGCAGCCTGAGCTCCCCACAGCCAAGGGAACCTGCAGTGAGTCTGCCCTGTCTCACCTCTCTCCAGGTGTCCAGGTGTTGGATGCTTCTTTTTGTCAGTCCCTCATCTGTCCCTGTGGCCAGTAAAAGCAATGTCCTTAGTTGCAAGGACAGAAATCCTATACCTAGCCTGACTTAATAATAAAAAAGAAAGTTTACTGACTTTGACTCATGTAGTTGCAAAGTCCAGAAGTGTTCTGACTTCAGACCTGGCTGGGTCAGAGGCTGAAACATGCTGGGTGGCAAAAATCAACAACTGTCCACCACACTGGGCATTCCTGGGGATGCTGGCAGCCCAGGGTAGACAGACATTCATACCACACTTTGGCTGGGTTCCCCCAAGGACACAGCCCATCAGAGTGCTGTGACCATGACCTGGTGCCTGCAACCATATTCACTTAGGTGTGGGTTATCTAAATGGATAGAATAAAGGAAACAAGGAGTCACTTGTCTGGCTGTGCTGGGGCCTTCTAGGTTGAAAGCTCTCTCCCATGAAATCTCCTCCCTGGCCCAAAGGGTGGTGTCATTGAGGAAACTGAGCAGCAACCGGCTTTGCTCAGAGTGAGGATGGGTTGCACCCAGAGCCTGGACGCCAGCCTCTTGACACCTGACCTACACACTGGCCACAGAACTTCTGCAACAGCCTTTCCCCAGCACCTCGCTGGCCTTGGCCAGAGCCCACTGTGGCATAGAGTGGGGTCACTGTCAGCTAGAAATGGTGACTTTTTCAGTACAGTATCTGAAACCCCACCGTCAGGGCTCCATTCCCTGGGTTAAGCACCGTCCTCTGTGAGCCAGTTCTCGAATGTTCACAGGCAAGCAGAACCCCTGAGGGTCAAGTTAGTGCAGATTCTGATTCAGCAGGTCAGGGCTCAGCTCCTAGGGGCTGCTGCTGCCCCAGGCCTGCGGGCCACATTTCAGGCAGTGAGGCCTGTTGTTGACATGCAGTCACCCCTTCGAGCAAGTGGGGTGAGGGTAAAGTATGACTCATCCAGCACCTGCCTGTGACTCTCCTGGCATGGGCAGAATGACCCAGTGGGGGAAGGGCAGAGGACCTTCCAAAAACTTGTTTGTTTACAGGCCCTTTATCTCCCTTGGCATCCCTGAACCACACAAACTGGTTCAGGCCAGTTCTACCTGGGCCCACAGAGCAGAACAGGTTATGGGATGAGGGGCAGCTTCTTGAAGACTGACCTGCTGCCCTCTCAGACACCCAGACCACGCTGCTCCATCCCTTCACCACAGGGCTAATGCCAGGGCAGGGAGTGCCAGCTCCAGCCACTGGTGTCTTAGTCCAGCTCCACTCTCCAGGAACCTCCATTGCCTGAAACCCTCGGTCTAAAGGGCAGCGTTCATTGGGGCAGGAGAGGAGACTGCCTGCAGCTGAACCTAGGCACCACCAGCCTCCTCCACAGCTGCCTGCCAAGGAGCCGGGGCACAGGACCCCGGGTGGGTGGGCAGACTGGCTGAGCGCTGTGCCCTCCTTGCTAGGGCTTGCAGGTGGCGCCATGGATGCTGGGGCAGGGTTGATGGTGGTGCAGGACTCAGCCTGCTCCCCTCTCCCCAACAGGGCTGGGATAGGGCTGCCGCTTCTCTGAGCCCCAAGGTGTTAGGGCCTTTAAGGCCTTAAGGATTCGGTGGCCAGCCACCTTTAGAGAGCCATCATTGGTGCCCAGTCACCCATGGATGCTTGCTGTGTGCCAGGCCAGGTGCTGTGGACACAGCCAGGAGTGAGGTGAACCGGGTGCCGACTCTCAAGGCTCTCACTGCACAGTGGGGGAGACGTGCTCAGAAGAGGCATGTGCTGTGGTGGGGGGTGCCCAGGCCTGATGTGGGGGCACAGTGGAGGGCAGCACTCTGCAGAGGTGAGCTCATGCCCAATGGTGAGAGCGCATGAGCAATGCCAGTCAGGGGATGGTGTTCCAGGCAGCGGGAACAGCAGGGGCAAAGGCTCTGAGGAGGAAAGGAGCCCATGTGGCCTGGAGCAGTTTGGCTGAGGCTGAGGCCAGAGAGGCAGCAGGTCTGGCTCAGGTACCCGGGAGCCTGGGAACCGTTGGCACAGTGCACAGCGGGTCTGATCTTTGCTTTGAAGAGTGTGCCCTGACTGCTGCATGCAGATGGCTGGGGAGGGAGAGTGGAGTTGGGCAGGCCTGAGAGCACCGCAGCCATCCCTTCCCTGGGATCCCCAAGGGGGGCATCACTAAGGCCACATCTGCAGATTTTTCTGCCTTGGGAGGTAGACCAGAAGCCTTACCCATCCTCCCTCCTGTCTTCAACTCCCCATATAGTCCTCCTATAGGACTGCCCTTCCCCCCCGCCCTGCCGACCCCCATTCTGCTGAGGTGTTAAACAGGAACATGTGGCTCAGCCTCTTCGATGACAGCAGAGGGTGTGCTAGGAAGCAAAATGACCACCAGTCATTGCTCCTGGCCAGTGTGTGAGTTTGAGTGACACTCAGTATCCCTTGCTGCTAAAGTATAGAGGGGAATGTGCTGGGAGGAATCAGACCCCATGACTGGAAGATGTGGACCTGGGATGGCATGTGAGCTTGGGAAGGTAATGGCTGCCCAGAAGACCCCTAACTATTTTGTTTCCCTCTAGAGACAACCTCATTGGCCAGGCTGTGTCCTGCCCAGGCTGTCCTCAGAGAGGAGCATGACTCCGGGAACAGGTACAGGCCACCTGCCACCGCCAGGCTGCATGGGCACTGTGCCTGTCTCACCTGCCTCGCTGTGGGTGCCACTGTCAGTCCTGTTCTCAGGTGAGGAAGGTCAGCCAAGGTGCTGACTTTTCCTTAGTCAAGACCACACCGCTGCCCTGTGCTCCTGGTCACCACTCTGCCACCATGCCTCCTGGGGAGGTCAGGAGTTCTCAGGCTGGACTTCAGTGCCTCTGCTCTCTACAGATGTTTTCTTTCCCCAGAACGGAGCTTAAGCTTTGGCAGGAGCACTGGGTCCGCTGGGCCCAGATCCAGGCCCTCACACTCCCGCCCGGGGCTTTTCTTGTAAGGCCTGGCAAGGACACAGGGACCAACTGTCCTGCCAGCCAAGTGCTCCCGTCCACCACCCTCGAATCTTCCCTCCCGGCTGTGTGTGGACTGTGTGTCCCTGCCAGAAGCTGATCCTTCTTACTGGCAGCACCAGATTCCTGAGATTGGCCTGCCTTGACCCTCCTGGAAGATGCAGACCGACAAAGGGAGGGTCTGAGGGCCAGGCCCATGAGTTTGAGGGGCATTGGGGCCCCACCACCTCCACCTTCCTCAGCATTACCTGAAATGCCCTTGTAGGAATCAGCCCAGACGGGAGCAGCTCCAGATGGAAAGTGAAGTCACAGTCGTGACCTCAGGGCATTTTGGGACTAATGACAGGCAGGCTTCCCCTTACAGTTCTGGGGGTTTCAGTGTTCCAGCAGGACTCAGATATTAAGGGCGGCCTTTACAAGGGGGTGAATCAAGTGGCTCCTACCTGTGAGTTTTGGCTGTTGGGATTTTCAAATGCCAAGTTTTCTTAAAGAAGGATGCTGGTAACGTTTGGGTGTTGTCTGCCAGAGGCCAGGGCACCAGACAGGGGCTTCATAAGACCTCAGGTATCTTGTCCCTCTTTAATGATGGTGCTGATGGTGGCAGTGACTGCCACTTACTAAGGCCCATCTGTGCTCTGGCTCCAGGGAGGCAGAGCCAGGCCACACAAAGCCATCCCGTCTTTTTTTTTTTTTTTTTTTTAA